TCAAACTTGTGATCCTCCTGCCTTAGCCTCCCTAGAGTGTTGGCACGACAGTGCACTCCCTATATATATCTTTTTTTTTTTTTTTTCCCAGAACGGGGGATTGAACTCAGGCCCTTGCACTTGCTGGTTCACAAGCTTAATTCATTCTGTGATTCCAAGCAAGTTGGCCCCGGTCATGTTTGGCCCCTGATGTAGAATTCAGGAATGGAAGCAGAATTTTGCTAAATCCGTTAGTGTACCAAACTGTTCATGAAAAGCAGCATTTGTGAACTACGGTGTTGCTCTATTCTGCATAATCAATAAGACTTCTGGAGCACATCAAAACGCTCAAGTGTACCCTCTTATTATGAAAACTCTTTTCTATAGGTTTAAGACATTTTGTCCTTATGTTTAAGTCAAGCCATTCTGAAACCATGAAAAAATTGAAGTATTAACACTGATTCTGCAACTACTGCTGTCTGCTTTGGGAAAGGGCATGCCCGGAGAGCCTCTAGCCTCCGAAAGATGCTGGCCTCAGCTTGTCACATGAGAATGGCAGAAGGAGGCGTGCCATCCAAAGCTCTCTTCCTATGTTACCTGCAAAGCTGACTGCTTCTCAGCAGGAGAGGAAAGAGCCACTGCAGAACTCGGGGCCTCCATGGTAGGCTAGCCCCCAAAGAGAACAAAACATCATTTCCGCAGTCAAGAAAAGACACTGAAACCACCATGGAGAAACTGGGTCCCCAGACACCCAGTGGGCCCAGCCAAGCACCGAGGGGACCTGCTCACACAACCAAATGCCATGTAAAGCATTTGAACCGCTAAGTCTCTGGTGTGCATGCGAAATCAAGATGCTGCTCCACAAATACCTGAGCATTTTCACCTTTCATAATAAATGATCTTATAAGGGAGAAAGGTTACAAAGGCCTCAGAAACCCTTGGATTCCAGGCACCTGTGTGCAGAGTCCATGGCAGAGAGCTATACTCAGCGCCCGTGCCTGCCTCCGCAGGTGGGGCCTCGTGAGTGTGCGGAGGTGGAGTGCCCACTCACCCACAGGGGCTGCACGTGCAGCTGCTCTGCTGTGACAGCATCTACGCAGTATGCGTTCTCCCCAGACGCAGGGGTGTGGCCTCAGCTCTCACCCAGGGCTGCCAAGGGGGCTGACAGCAGCGTAAGGCCTTCAGGCCCAAACAGCCATGACTGTGAGGCTACACAAGGTACGTGACCAGCGTGCTGGGTACTCACTCTTCCTCATGCACACGGCCTCCAGGATGGGGTCCTCGGGCTGGGAGGGGGACACGCTGCTGCTGCTGCTGCTGCTGCTGCTGCTGGACTTGCGCGGGGCTTCCTCCTGGGGGGCATTAGTATTGCAGTTAGCAACACTGCATCCCCAAACCGAGAGGTGCCGAGCAGCGTCCAAGACTCAGGGCAAGTGGACAGTGCGATGGACAGGGACCGCCGAAGTTCAAAGGAAAAAGACCTCATTACAGTAGAGACACACTGCCCGGCCACCGTTACTGTTCTCAAAACCTATCCACATTTCCAACACACTCATCCCGACATCCCTGTCACTTTCTGCAGCAGACCTGGAGTCCTCTTTCCTCAGTGTCTCTAGTTGTGCTGCTGTGGCTGCCTCAGTGGCTTGAATCCATTCATGGTCATGCTGGAGAGCCAGAAGCCACACGGTGCCCGAGCTCATGAATGAGTGGCTGAGGGTGCAGTGCCACCTTCTGAGGAGCTGCCCTCCACTGGTGACACTTGGTGGCACTCATGTGGCTTTGACCACACCTCCTAAAGACATTCAGAAGGACCCAAGGAGTGTCCGCAGGAGGGCGCGCGGTCGGGCCCTTGCCCACTTTCTCTTCCTGGAAGGAGAGCAAGGAGGCACAGTCCCAGAGGCTCTGATTGGGCCACGGTCGGAACTCGGGCTGAGAGGAGGTGCCCAGCTAGGCTGCACTGGGGGCCCAAGTCCAGAGCCCACCTGTTGGACCCTTTGTAGCAGAGGTCTCACCGAAGAGGGGTTCTGCGACAAAGGGTCAAGTGGGCTTACGACTTGGTCTCTACCTCTGCTGGGCCTGGGTTTTCTGAGAGAGAGATGCTTTTGTCTTAAATTCTGGGATTCTCACACAGTGCTGCGAGGAACACCAGCACGCACACATCACATAGGCTGTGGAGGTAGGTGTGGGCTCCAGAGCCGGATCTGCCACTTGCTAACTCACATGCATCCTTCTGCCTATTTCCTTATTACAGTAAAAGGTGGAAGACCATGCGCAAAGAAATTAGTGTCCTTATTTCAAAGGTTTCAAGTATGTTCTCTCTACAGTCCAAAGACTAACTCAGGGCTCTGCAGAGCCCAGTTCCAGCCCTTATTCTCTGAGGCAGGGTTTCAGTGTGCTGCTCAAGTTGACTTCCAGTTCTCTCCTGCCTCAGCTTCCCAAGTAGCCAGGACTGCGGCCATGTGCCACCACACCTGGCAAGGGAGCCCTTCTCTCTACGTAGGGTCACAGCACCTTCTCATGTCTTTGTGAAGGTGAATTAATTTACATCTGATGTCTTACTCAGAGTTAGCTCAGTAAAAAGCAGCCACCGTACTCGCCGAGACTTGGCAATACATCAAAAGCCGTAAAACCACGCATCCCACCAGGTGTGGCGGCACATGCCTTTAACCCAGCATTTCGGGGGCTCAGGCAAGATGGCTGTGAGTTCAAGGCCAGCCCAGGCCACACAGTGAGTTCAAGGACAGCCTGTACTACATAGCTAGACCTTACCTCAAATAGCCAAAAAAAAAAAAAAAAAAAGTACACCCTTACCTAGCAAATGCAGTTAGAGATATTCTAAAAAAAAAAAAAATGTAAGGGCCATGAACAGACAAGTTACCACTATGCGTGTCTACAGCTTTCCCACAGGGTCAGAGCCTCGCAGCCAGCTCAGCCTGCAGTCCGTGTAAGCAGATGCAGGCCACAACCCACAACCCTAGGTGCCAGGACAGTGCTGCCGCCCTCACTTAATGGAAGGGGCTCCCTGCCCAAACCACGAACTTGGGCATTAAGGGGATAAAAAGCAAGTTGGGGTCTCACACTTTTTTTTAATGTATTTAGTACATGATCTTCAGGGTCTACAGAGTCTAACTATGTAGATCAGACTCACAGTGAGTCTCCTGTTTTCAGCCTCCCAAGCACTGGGATTATAGGCACGTGCTACCATACCCAGCCTTAATCACCCTCTCAGTGCATGCCTGGGGTGCCGGCATGGCAAACCTGGGACTGAACCCTGGCCACGGCGCTCTGTCAAAGCAGGTGCTTTAGTCTGCTGAGCTAGCTGGCTGTCCCTTCACACTTCTTAAAATGATTAAGAGCTTTGTTTCTCCTGCATAAGCTGTTGAGTTTATCACTGATAATTAAATAATTCATTACTATTCTGCTTCATATGTGTATCTGATCTATACTAATGCAGGGACTGGGTACACAGAAATTCAGAAATAAATTTGGATTACTGAAACAGTAAACTTTTTTGTGGTAACTTGTACCTAAGTTTCAGTTAAACCTGAGGGCCGGGGATGTAGCTCAGTGATACAAGAGCCTGCCTGACAAGTGTAAGATCCTGAGTTTAATTCCCTGTGTACACACACACACACACACACACACACACACACACACACACACAGTTAAACCTGAAAATTAGCAATAAGTAATAGGAAATTACTGACAATGTCATCAAATGAAAATGGTCTTCTACAGGTGAGCACAAGTCTTACGTCCTGGAATGGAAGAATCTCTCTCTTGAAAGAATATAAAATCTATAGAAACCACACCTATAATCCCAGGACTCTGGGAGGCTGAGATAAAAGGATCCCAAATTTGAACCTAGCCTGTGCAACTGAGCGATTTAGCAAGACCCTGGGTCAAAACTGAAAGGTTTGGATACATAGCCTAGGGTGAAGGCTCTGCGTTCAATTTCTAGTACTGCAAAGAGGAAGCGAGGCAGTGTGCAGTGCCCCAGATAGCAGGCACCTGGCATTGAGAGCAGCGGGCAGGTAGCTGGGCTTCTCCTGCCCTGCGCTCTCCCTCAGGAGTGGGCTAGGCATGGCCCTTGCAGGAGAGATCCAGCAACATAAACACACACAGCGCAACCCTGGACCACAGCGCTGCAGACCTGGAACATGGCAAGAGACGTCCAGGGCTCGCCACACACTGCCTTCGCCTGCAGGCTCACCTGCCAGTGTTCATGTTACAGGAAGAACAACCCTTATGGGGAGACAATTACATGAAGGTTTTGCTTGACTACCTTTTCCTTCTAAAACAAAGGAGATAGTAACATAAATGTGGAAATTTTGGCCTGTTCTTAACCATGCTTGTGCTTTATGACCACAGCATATCCAGCTTGCATACTCACTCTACAAACCACACCCATGTGTCATGGTCACCATAGCATGAAGCTGCCCACACACCCCACAGCCCACAGTGCCGACGCTATGCCCAGCCCAGCCGAAACCTCACCTCGGAGTCAGAGCTGTCCAGCTCAGCAAGCGTTGGGGCCTTGAGCAGCCTCTTCCGTGCTCCAGGCGCCAGTCCAGGAGAGCTCAGCCTGCTCTTTCCCGGCTGTGCTGGTGATAGCGAGCCCCCATTCACCTGCAATGGCTCCCCAAGGCTCTTTGGAGATTCTGGTGTGGTCACATCTGTGGAGAGAAAGGCAAAAGCTGACCCCAGCTTGAGCCAGGAAGGGGAGCGTGTAGGGTGAGGCAGAGGTGGAGGTGGAGGCAGAGGGCTGGGCAGTGCACTCCATGACCATCTCTGTCAGACAGGCAGTCAGCCAATGAGGAATCCTGCATGAGTAACTCAGGCTTTCCAGCTGTGAATCCTGCAGTTAACTGAGTCTGAGTTTAGCTTCCAGATAAGGAAATCGAGACACAGAGAAGCCAGCTTCCCGCTTTGGGCCAGAAGATGCAGGGGAAGTGGAGGAAACGATGCCGCACACTGCACCCCATGGCCTCGGGCGCCCGGGCCACCTACAGGAGTGAAGCATTTCACAGGGACACAGACACACACACAGAGCACACATGAGATACATTTTCTGTGAATGCAACATGAATGCATTCTCTCTGACATGATGAGTCGTGTTTTAGAGCGGAAGCCTGAACGGGCAGGCAGGACAGCAGCAGGACACCTGTTGGGACTGCGTGAGCTCCTGACCTGTTCCTCCTATGTAGGACAGAACAGCTGCACTAGCCCTATACCACGGGCAGGACCCTCCCTCCAGCTGCTGCCTAGGGCACGTGGCCTCAGGCCTGGCCTTCCCCTTGGGGAGGATTCTACAGCTTGCAACAAAACTGGAGCTTTCAAAGATGAACAGAACTGTCTATGCAGCTGAGGGGAGCTGGGGCACAAGTCCGCTCTCCTAGGAGGCTCCTCCTGTGCTTGCAGGCAGGGGGCGGGGTCAGGCCCAGGGAGCGTGAGCATGCAGGCTCCTTGTAGGCAGGCAGCACACTCAACAGATACAGCTGCTGCTCACTGTTAGGGACGAGGAGGCCACAGGACAGCCCCTTCCCAGCAGCAGGGACAAGCTGGACAGGGAGAGAGGCAGGAAGAAAGGAAGGAGGGAGGGCAGGAGGAATACAGGAGATAGAACTGTCTGTCAATTATCTTTTTAGGTGAAAAAACCCCTTGTTTTGTACCAGAAATCAAACTCACAATCTCGTGCTTGCCAGGCACGTGCTGTGCCACTGAGCTACATCACTAGCCCTTAGGTGAAATTTTTAAGACAGAACTATTATTTTTTATGGATGTTACTGCTTAAGACACTTCAGAAAGTCACTGGAGGTAGATTAAGTGTTAAACAGGGTGGGTGGCATTGAAGGTGACAGGTGTCCACAATGGCCAGGAGCACGGCGTGCAGCACACAGGCAGCGCACTTGCATCCGCCTCCACAATCAGCAGCCGCCTGGCTATGGGGACTGCGCACCTGCCAGATGCAGAGCTGTGAGGAGCAGGAGCAGACACACTCCGCAGGGTCCCCCAGGCTAGACGGGATGGCCTCACGGCACCTGCCTGCTGACAGAGGTCTGTCAGACACTTGGTCATAATTTTAAGGCATTGAGTGGTTACATTTTTTGTTGAAAGTCATAAATTCTATTACTTCAATATAACCAAATGAGAATGAAACATGAATTAAACTTTGTGTTTCTTCTACATAAGACAGCATTTAAGAAAAACTGGCGATAGTTATGCATAAATAAAATCTAAAACCAGAAAGCGCATACTTCGGATCAGAGAGTAACATGTATATTCCTGGCATTAAATACTTTAATAACTGTGTGGGGTGCTGCCTTATTTAGTTGGAGGAAGTGTGACTAGAATATCGAAGACAGTCTTAATATTTGCACAGAAGGAAAAACTAGACTTACCTTTATGTTGAAGGGATTGTTAGAATTTTCACTAAGACAGACACTTGTCAGATGCACGCAAGCAACAGGCGCGCTTCCTCGCAGCTTATCTATGCTTATGCTTACAGTCGCCTCGACTGCATGTCTAACATGTTTCCTCTTTGGTTTGCTCATTTTCCTGCTCAGAAATGCATCCAGCTTTAAGTCAGAGGAATGGGCTGAACCTCTGCATTCATAGCTGGGATGTTTCCAGCAACATTCAAAGCACAACAAACACAGAAAGCAGCACAATAACCCGAGAATGAACAACTTGGAAATCACCAAGTACATTAAGGTGCAAAATAAATGAGAGCCAATGAGAAGCAGTGACGTGTACATTCTTTGGAGCCCTTCTGTGGAGGATGTCAGTGCCTGAGCCCACGTGCACTGTGAGTGGGCGTGGGCACTGTCCTGCCTGGCTGCAGGGGACACCAGGGGTACTTGGGGAGACAATCTGAGTATGTAACACTTTCAAGTTTACCTGCCAGGGTCTCCCTACAAAGGGTTTGGAAAATAAATAGAAACAGCCAAATATGATAAAGAAAATGGAAAAGGCTCTTCAGTGGTCAGTTAAAAACATCAAGCAAACACTAAAACATCAGTCATGCCTAAGAGCTACGCAAATACACAGAGTTTTTTTAAATGGCTGGGAACTACTTTTGTAGTTGGAAGACAGTGCGTAAATATATTCAATATACAACCCTCTGGTTTTTGTTTTCTTCTGGTACTACCAGGGATTGATGGAATCTAGGGCTATCTATCACTGAGCTGCACCCCACTGCTCCTCTGGACCAGGATTTTGCTAAGTTGCCAAGGCTGGCCTGAAACTTGCTCCTGCCTCAACCTCCTGAGAAGCTGGGGTTACGGGTATGCACTCCTGCACCTGGCCTGCTCTTGCTCTCAATTTGTCAGAAGGCACTTGAGTCCCTGCAACCTAAGAGGCTTTGTGCAGTTCAATACTTTGGAAGAAAATGGTACCAGCCAGCTTGCTTATTTTACATTTAAAACAGTGGGTTCTGAAGTGACAAATTTTAACTTGCAAAATATCTGTTGGAATTACATAGGCTTTGGAAGTTTGCAAACATGGAAGCTGCTATTTTTCAAAGGGGGCTGCCTCAGTAGATCCCGTCTAGGCAGTTACTCCTTTCACTGTGGGTGCTGCGTGCCTTACTGAGGGGCAGGAACCTGCGCCAGAGACTCCAGCAAGCACCCGCACGCGGCAGCCTGCGTAGGTCCTCAAGTGACTGCATGTTTTGGAAGAGAAGACGTTTCACGACTGCCTTTTAGTCAGCTTCCTCCATTCTCTAACGGTGAAGACACGCCAGAGGGCAAACTCCACAAAGAGGCCGCCTCACCATGGCCTGAGCATGCTCCCCAGGGGGCCGGGGACACCGTGTTCTCATTATCTCAAACACACTGCTTTCAAGATGTGCGTGGTGGCGCACGCTTGTAACCCCAGCACTGCAGAGGCTGAGGCAGGAGGATCACTATGAGTTCCAGGCCAACCTGAACTATGTAGCAAGACTCTGTCTCTGAAAAACCGAAAAGAAAAAAGGAAAAGCATACTGCTTTCACCCACTGACCACGGTGAGAAGAAAGCCTTTCTATTTTCTTTCTGGCAGTCGGACAAGCAGATGTGTGAAATGCACGTCACAAGCCACGCTCACGCCAGGTGTGACGGTGCTTCCATCGTTACCTGACAAGTCAAAACTGTGAGACACACTAAGAGGCCGCACTGCTGAAAGAAAGAAAACACGATGAGAGGACAGGGCGCAGCTCAGCTGCTGGGCGGGGCCAGGGCCGTAGGGCCACCCCGCTGGGCAGGGCTACCCGCTGGGCCGGGGCCACCCCACTGGGCCAGGGCCACCCCGCTGGGCCGGGGCCACCCCGCTGGGCCGGAGCACCCCACTGGGCCGGAGCCACACCGCTGGGCAGGGCCACCCCACTGGGCCGGGGCCACCCCGCTGGGCCGGGGCCACCCCGCTGGGCAGGGCCACCCCACTGGGCCGGGGCCACCCCTCTGGGCAGGGGCACCCCGCTGGGCTGGGGCCACCCCGCTGGGCAGGGGCACCCCGCTGGGCCGGAGACAACCCGCTGGGTCGAAGACACCCCGCTGGGCCTGGAAAGTGGGGAGAGGAAGATGCCCTTCAAGAACATGTTGTAAAGGGAAATGTGGGGAGATACAAACAGTTTTCAAAAACCGCGTAATTGTTTTTTTACCTAAATACTATAAAATCATTGGTCAGGAGAAAAGTAACTATGTTTTAAAACATGATTTTAAGGAATACATGCACTGCCTGGACTTCCAGAATGGTGTGTCCCACGGGACTCAGGTCAGCCAGCTCTGGATATAGACAAGCACGGGACAGGAAGTCTCAGTGTACCCATGCCAAGAGCAGGCGTAGCCACTGTCACCACAAGGTCGCCTGGCTGTGTGGTCTCAGCTCTATTACCTGCTAGCAGCTCACCCGACCCCTCTGAGTTTGTGTCACCCCTTCCGACAATGGGAACCCCAGGGCCTGCCTTGTGGGGCACCCTGTGAGCCGTGGCTTCCCACACAGAGGCGCCCAGCATGTGAGCGCATACGGAAGGGCAGTTAATCGCAGTTCCCAAGAACAAAATTACTTCTTTCCTACTGAAATAGTTTGTTGTAAAAATTTTATTCCATATAAGCAAGCTTATTTATACACATTAAATGGGTGGTTTTAGGGGATGTAAATTACATCTTAACAGTGTTTCAGAAGAGAGTGTCATGAGGATTTGAAGAGTTTGGCATTCAGCACAGGGAGAGCCTTCTGCTTTCACACCAGCCCCAAACCCTGCATACCCCATGAGCCATTTTTGTGTCACAGGGCCAGAGCAGGGCGTGGCACTGAGACTTATGTGCCACCTCCTTCTCTTTACTATCCAAACACCCCACCAACCAGGTCCCCTAGGGGACCCCAACTGCCAAGGCCAAAGCGCATCTCAGGGTCCCCCGCCAATTCTTTTCTCCATTCTTAAGTCCTCTTCATGCAAATGGAGATGAACAAAGGTGGAGGCATAATTCCATGAATTTCAGGCTTCCTAAGAAAACACTGGAAATGGCCTGCGAAACAGAAGGAAACAGGCAAAAAGCAACGTGGCCACACGTCAGATCACAGCCTTAGGCGTCATGCTGTCACACTGAAAGACAGGATGGCGACCAGACCACAGCTAACATTGAAGGCGTGATGCTGTCCATGGTCTTCTGTGTTTGTGGCTTTGCAGTGGGTACCCTGGATGTGGATGGGGCGGATAACGCCTTCTTTGAACACTTGGATGGTTTCCCGTCACTGAGTTTCTACTTACAACCACATGACAGGAAACGTTACAAAAATATTTAGGGAAACTTTTCTTCAAGTTAATGCTGTTAACCTTATCCCAGCCAAATTATCCAGAGCACAGTTTTTATGGCAAAAATCAGTGTAGATTTTCAGGATTAATAAACTCAAATTCCTGACTTTCCACTTCAAGTTTTAGATCAGCTTGAATTTAGGATTATAGAATTAAAAGGCCATAGAACAATCACTTTCTCTACCAGCTCAGTTCTGGTTGTTGTGACACAGCAACTCTCAAGGTTAAGATAAAGACACACTCGGTAAAAATTTGGTATTTACTATACAGTAGGGTTCCCTTCCCCTTAGCACACGTGTATGATGTTGTAGAAGTGAAACTAAAAAAAAAAAGTGACACTGAAAAGACTGAAAAACATGAGACAAAGGCCTGCTCTAGGGACAGGATCCGTAATCTAAGGCTTCCAACAAACAGAACCCTGGGACCATGCGGCTCCGCCCCGCAGGGGCAGGCTAGCCACCATCTCACAAGCTCTTCCCAAGTGCTGAGGGTAAAACAAGCAACAAGAAGGGAAGGAGACTCCAGACCAGCACCCTGAGGGCACAGATGAAAAGTCATCCAGAGAACAGAGCGAACTCGCCCCAGCAGCAGAGGGCCAGGAGAGCACAGCACACCAAGGGGTCTGTCCAGGAGTCAAGGGTGACCTGACACGTGGAAGTCAAGCCAGGTGACAAGCCCATAACAGAATAAAGGATACAGCCACACTATCATTTAATAGATACAGGAAAAGCATATGACAAAACTCCATACTCTTTCATGATAAAAATTCTTAAACTGAGAACAGGAGTGCATTTGCTCAACATAATAAGGCCTCCTATGAAATGCCCACAGCTAATATTACACCCAGAAGGGAAAAGGTGAAGAGTTTTACTTCTAGCACCAGAATGAGGCAGGGGTGGCCTTTTCCGTATGTGACACAGTCCTGGGCATCCTAGCAGAAACAAAAAGAAAGACAGGGAAGGAAGGAGGGAGAAAGGCAGGAAGGAGGAAAAAAATCAAGGTTAAAATATATTACAAAGTCATTTATCATTGAATACAAACAGACACATATAGATCAAGATCAAAACAGGGCAGAAAGAAACCCACCCTTGCATGGTCAGCTGATCTCTGACAAGTCTGCCAAGAACACACAATGGAGAAAGGCTTCTCCAATGGAGAAAGTCTCCTCAACAAGTAGGGCTGGGAAAACTGAATATCCACAGGTAACAGGATGAATCTAGAACTTTATTTCTACACAGTGCCCAGAGATCAACTCAAAATGGATTAAAGACTAAAACCCAAGATCTGGAACTATACAACACCCATTAAAAACATAGAAGACAGTTTCCACGTTGGTCTTAGCAAGTGTCTTCATTAAAAAGAACACCAAAAACACAGGAAGTATCAGGCATGGAGGCCCATGCCTGTAATCCCAGCACTCAGGAGGCTGAGGCAGGAGGATCATTCAAACTCCAAGACCAACCTGGGCTATAAAGTGAGCTCAAGGCTATCCTGGGCTGCACAGCAAGCAAAAGACGAAAAAAAAAAAAAAAAAAGGAGGAGGAGGAAGAGAAGGAGGGAGCTCAGCAAAGAGGAACACAATGAGAAGGCAACCAACCTACACCACAGAGCATGTGTGCCCATCTCCCTGCAGGAACTATGTCCAAACATGCGACCAAGCCCTGCACCTCAGCAGAAGAAAACATGGAACGTGACTCGAGCAGGAAGGAGATGCACACATGGCAACAGGGGCCCTCATCATCAGCAACCTCAAATCACAACACAGCCACCTGCAGCGGGCACTGGACACAGGGAGGGCCCACACAGGCTCACCACTGGGAGCACACGGGAAGCACTCTCATGGGATCTGCGCGGAGACTTCTTGGAAAAAGAGAGAGATCAGCACACCCATGTCCCCCAGAGCACTGTTCACAACGGCCACCTGTGGAAACAAGTGGAATGTCCGTTCACAGATGAGTAGAAAAGAAAACAAGGCACATACAAGCAGGCCATCTGGCTGCTCGGCGGCGCACACCCATAATCCCAGCATTCAGGAGGCTGAGGCTGGAGGATCACTGCAAGTTCGAGGCCAGCCTGGGATAGATACATAGTGAGTTCAGAACTAGCCTGAATTACATTGCCAGACCCTGTCTCCCATGAAACAGACCATGAGACACAGATAAACCTCTGTGCTATGCTAAGAGGAACAAGCCAGAGATAAGCCGAATGAACTCACTCCACAGGGCACTAGAGCATCTGCTTCACAAAGGATGGAATGGCCACTCCCAGAGAACAAAAAAGGAGACGGGGAGATTCGAATCCACAGCTAAGTTCACTCAAACAAGATGGGCAAGCTCTGGTGCCCTGCAGTGTAGCACCGCACTGCGCAGCATGGCTGTCCACCTGGACACCTGCCGAGAGGGACACCTTCGCAAGCCTTCTTGCCAGTCAGAGAAAACGTCAGGCTCTTACTGCGGCATGCAAGAGGCTCCTCGTCTACTTAAAAAGATCACTGCGGTCTCCCCTAAACAGTGGAGAAAACTGCACGGTATGATCAAAATACATGGTGAATGCTGACATTTTCAAAATTCTTTGAATATTTATTTTTATGTACTTGGTACAGGGTGTCACTAAGCAGCTCGGACTCGTACTGCTCCTCCTGTTCTCAGCCTCCCAGCACTGGGATCATGGGCATGCGCCACCACAACAAGGGGCAGGGCCAGCGCAGTATGTGGTGCCAGGGATTGAACCCTGATCCTGGCACTTGTCTAAGTAGGTGCTTAGTCTGCTGAGCTATCTTGTAGGCCCTCAAAAAACTGCTACAGTAACAGAGTCGCTGTGAGTCCTCTCCAGCCCCTCCTTCTCCCCTCAGATGCTCACCCCAGTGTCCTCACACTTTCTGCAGCAGTTCCGGAGTCTTCTCTGGGGGGGCATGCAACCCAATGGACAGCAGCTCATAAAACCACAATGCTGCATCCACCCTGCCCACCCACTGGCGCTGGCAATGCGTCTGCTGGCTCCTCCCCAGAGTCCAGACAACCGGAATGCTCTGATGCATTCAGGACATGACAGCACGGACAGGAAAGAGGACCCCAGAACTGCTGCAGAAAGCGGTGAGGATGAGGGATGCGCGTGTTAGAAGCAGGGGGTTTTCTCAGGGGCTGAGTGTCCACTGAGCCCCTGCTCACCCCATGCACCCAACCGCCGCATGGCCCTCCCGGCACACGGCGCCTGGAAGTGTGCTGCAAGCAGCCCATCCCTTACTTCCTGATGAATTCCCAGTTGCTGGGGAAAAGGTTGATGGACCACAGACTGTTAAAAGCTGCTGGGAAAAATTAAGGCAGATGCCCGCTGTGCACTGCCATCACTGCACACACCAGCCTGTCCTGCTCCTCGCACGGTGCAGATGCCCAACCCCAACCCGACTGTACCGCTCCTGTGCTTCACCATCCAACTCTGCTCCCAGAAATAGGCTTGTTCCACCTCTGAGTTTCGTCAAAGTCTTCTATTTACTCCCAGCATTCTTTCTTGAGGACCAGTAATTCTTCCCCAAGTGTAATCTAAAACTGTCATCTTTAGTGCCACTTCCTTATTTTTCCATGGTGTATCTTTCACTTGTGAGGAAAGCCCCAGGCTGTTGCTGGAAGAGCCACCGTGCACACTGTGTGACTACATCTCGGGTCACAAGCCATCCTGGGCTGCAGGAGTCCAGTAAAGAGCCCCTGGGTCTGGGCTCAGTTCAACATCATGCAGATTTGGCCCTGGTGAGCGGGTGATATCCTGGAGAAACTTGTTGCCTGGAGACCAGAGAGGGGCCGGCAGCTCGTGACCACCCAGCAGTACATTTCATCATTTTAACATTGCAGGACTGCTCTGTCCGTACCAGGCAGGCTGCAGTGCTGTAGTGTGAGGGCCAGGAGGGCCTGGGGAAAACACATGTCCCCGGCCATGCGTCCTCCAGAGTGGAGGGCACTACGCGGGTCTGCTCGCTCATGCTGCAAGCGGGAGCCACCACAGGAGGACGTGGCTGCTCTGGGAAGAGAACAGACAAACGATGTTTCTTCAACTTCTTGTAGTATCTTCAATCTTGCAAATTGGAGGACAGCAGAGAAACAGAAATGCTTACAAACACCGCGTAATATGGTCTTGCTGTAAATCAAAATCGTGTTTACAGCATCCATTATAGTAATTATTAAAAATAGTATAATCCCAGCACTTGGGAGGCTGAGGCAGAGGATTCCCATGAGCTTGAGGCCAGCGTGGGCATGCAGCTCAGTGTGAAGGCCCTCAGTTCAATCCCCCATACCACGCCAAAGGACACCATAAAGGAAGAGCTGCCAGATGTTCACACGAAGCCAACTAAGATGATGAAGTGTGGCGTGAACACTACCCCCACCTGTGTTTCTCAAATGGCAACACCTGACCACTGCACAAGTCACGGCGTAGTAAATGTGGCTGCCACGACGCTGTTCACACCCACAGAACTCAGACTGCAGGGGGAGGAATTCTCCTGCCCTCTCCTGCTGGGGATGCACAAGCACAGAGGCAGAGCTGCCTGTGGACCCACAGTGCACGCGCTCACTCGCTCAACACTGAGAGGTTTCCTGCGACCTCAAGCACACAGGAAGGTGGCACGGGCTGTGGGAGGGAGGGGGTGACAAAGGAACGCGGGGGTCAGCTCCACCCTTGGCGCCGTCCATGTCCATGTCCTCGCCCCAGTGCACAACCGAGTGTGGGTCATGGCGGACTCACCGAGCCGGCTTCGGCGGATCTCCTCGGGCGAGACAGGCCGCAGCTTTCTTTCAGACTTGATCTCCTCCAAGATCCTCTCATGGAGGCTGCGTGGCCGGGGCGGGGTGGGCTTCAGCTTCCTGGCTGAGACCTTGAAGAAGCACAGGGGCCAGGAGGTGAGCGTCTGCTCCGAGCAGACGCTGCTGTGAGCCGCTCTTCACTGTCGCTCTGCCCATCACAAGCAGCAAGGTCGGGGTGGCGGGCCTCGGGTCTCACAGCACTGCAGACACACATCCCTGGACATGGGGCCACCCACGGCCCCGCTGTGCTCTGGCCACGGCCCACCCATGGTGTGGCGATGTCCTTGTAACACTCGGTGCTCAGCTGTTCCTGCTGGGGAGCTGCTGCTGGTGGGACACGAACCACAGCCTTCCCAGGTGAGGTTACAGGAAAGAAACGCTTGGGAAGGCAGAGTAACCTGCTGCAGGGCCCAGGAGACCTGTCTTCCTGAAACCAGGTGAGGCAGGCTCCTTCTCTTCTTTCAAAACCATTTATAGATGGATTAGTAACTTTGCTTCAGATGTACACAAATAGGGAAAGAGCATTCTTTCATTGTTACTTTAGGTATAAAGGTTTGAGGAGAACTGGCTATCAAGCAAGTGGGGTCGTAAAAAAGAGGGAATGGCAGGGATGGTGGCATGTGCCCGTCACTCCAGCACTCTGGGAGGCTGAGGCAGGAAGATACGACATTCAAGCCAGGCCAGGGTAACTCATCAAGACGCTCTCTCAAAAAGAAAAGAGAAAAAACCTGAGAATGCAGCTTGGGGAAACCGGCTTAGAACATTCTGAGTCTATTCCATGGTCCCTAGGAAGGTAACTAATGTATAAGGGGCGCAGAGCCAGGTGGACTCATTGTCACCGCGCCACAAGGGAGGGGGCGGGTGCTGGGTCCACACTAACTCTGTTTAGTTAGGATAAAAACAGCCTGCACAATTTTTTCTGACCTAACAATGCAGCTTTCAGGTGGGCTTCACAGGGCTAAAAATGAAAAGCTCAGGCGAAAGAAAGCACTGAACTAAGCTGCAATGGCGGATCCAGTGTGCACTTGAAAGTCGGCGAGCTTAGCCTAGTAACTCAGCGGTTCTGCGCCTAGGCGCACAGGACAGGCTCTAGGGCTGCTTAACCTAAGATGCTCTAACAGCGGCTTCACTGAGTCAACTTGAGAAGTTTAGCTACGCGACTCAGCAGGGCCAGGGTCCTCCCTTCATGAACAGCCTGAGCCTGTGCAAGCCGAGGGCGGGCCACAGCCTGGTAGCAGGGCGGAGAGGCCGCTCCGCCCCTTCCCTCCCGGTGATTCTGCTGTCCCCTGCTGCCTTCAACGGCTGCCTTCTGCCATGTCACCTCTCCTGAGAGTCAGCTGATTATGCACAGAAACCTCCACAAACTGTGAGCTAGAAAGTTTTTCCTCCTTTAACTTTGGGTGTTGGGCACTTTGTCCCAGCAGTAACAGAAAATAAGACAGAAGCTGAGCCCTAGAGGACAACGCAGCAGCCCATACCGGATTGAGAGGTGGTCGGGACCGGATGAAGTCGAGGATGATCTCATGGGCACTCTTCTTCAGCCTCGGGGGAATGTCTCCGTTCACCTAGGTGGCAGAGGCAGAAGAGCCGTGTGACCGCGGCAGGCTCACAGCACACAGGCAGCGCTATCCTGGCCACCACGGAAGTGGACAACCAAAGCAGCTGTGGACCCAAGTTCAGTGCAGCTCTGTCTTTTGGGGAATTACACATGAGACACACTGAGTTTTTTTCAGGAAAAAAATCCTGAAATTAGGAATGGGAATGAAGGAGATAACACCCGTGTTTACCAAGTGTCTCCTACTGTAAAAAGCCCTCTGCTCTGTTTTCACCTGTGACAGAGGGGCTGACAGGACTGGGCTGACAGGACTGGGCCTGGTCAGTGCTCGGTGCCAGCAAGGGCAGTGATGGTGCAGCCATGCCTGTTCCACTGCTACTCTGATGTCTTTCCTTTTTAAAGCTGTGTGCTAAAGGAATTTTTTATAAATATAAAAAAATCCCTAGAAAGCCACAAAAAATCTCCACTTCCACCCACGTTACCACCCACCCAGCACAGCTGTGGCACTGTGATACATTTGTCCCTGGTCTGGTCTGAGCATCACAAGCAGAACTGCCAGGCTGGCTGGGCCCAGTCCCATGGACAGGAAGGACACCACACCCAAGCCAGCACTGACTGTCCAGATGTGAGGTGGCGGGGACCGACCCGAGCTGAGGTCAAGGCTGGCACTGCCCACCCGTGGAGCCCAAGATACAGGACTGCAAGCTTTCTGCATAAAGCAGTGCAGCAGAACTCCCCATCACCCTGTGCAGTCCACATTTTCCCACCTGACTTTCGTACACCTTTCGCCAGACGTCCTGTGCACAGGCACAGCAGGGCCGAGGTCCACCCACATGCCAGTGTGCCTGGCTGCTAGGACCAGGTCCTGGTCCCCCGCAGATGCGAGTGGGGGTGCAAGGAGGAGCGTGTGGGCCACCTGCCCAGCTGGTGAGGTGCTGTCACTTCAACTGCGCCCCTCTCTGTGTTAGGGTCACAGAAGACTCAGAGTTTCTGCCCAGATTCTGGAGATTCACTTTCTGAGATGGTGATGCTGACATGCGTTCCTCGGTGTGTTTTTGTGGAACCTGTCTTCCCATGGGTGTGGGTGTGGTGTGTGCACTGGTTGTGTGCATGCAGGTATATGTACGTACATGCACGGCGCAGGGGAAGGAAGCTGGGCTCTCACTCATACTGGACAAGCTCTTGGGCAGAGCTGGGCCCCCAGGGCACAGGTGGCCATGGCGGAGGCAGAGCAAGCAGCCACACGTCACGGTCCAGGGGCCCAGGAGACAGTAAGCACCATGAGGCTGGCGTAAGGGTGAAGGCAGGCTCTGCCTCTGCAACCTCCACCAAGGCCTTCCCTGTGGCTGCAACAGCCTGCAGCTGGGCGCAGAGCCGGGCTGCCCTAGCCACCCACGGGAGGCTATCACGCAGTAACCTGGTAAAGCTGGGGCTAGAAAAGACACAGCCCTTAAAGTTGGGTTGAAAATGATGGTGTGGAATCTGATTATAAATGACAATAAAATATTAATTCTACTTTAAAAAAATAATATAATGGTATAGAAAATATTCATAATCTGTTGAAAAAATAACTGGTCACAAAACACAATTTGCCCATGTTTTACCCAAATTAAATGCATGGTACGAATGAGTGAGGGTTGGACCCAAGATACGCAAAAATTTCTCTTCGGGCGCTGGAAAAACAGTATTTTGCACCTCTCCCTGTTAGCACTGTGGACTTTCAGATCTCCCACTGTGACCAAGTGCAGCGCTCACAGGAGGAGCACCCTTGCAGCACACCCAGCCATGCCCTGCCCTGCTCACCATCACCCTGCGCAGGCTGTAGCGCCGGCAGCGGATGTCCTCCATCAGCATTTCGTAGGGCGTGAGCTGGTACTCGATGGGCAGCGGGTTGTACTGCCGCTCCTGCACCTTCTTCAGCTTCACCCCACGGCGTAAGTCCCTCATCACCTGGACCCAGAAGCGCGCCTGGGGAGTCAAGTGTGAGAGTCTGTGAACACCACATCCTGGGCAGGAGGAGGGGCTGGGGCAGTTCAGGGCTCAGCTGAGAACACACGGCCTCCAAGGCAGCAGCCACACAGGACACAGCTCCTATACCTGCGCCTATTCTACCTAGCTCTTCCCCAAGTCAAGTTGTGGCCCATAGGTACAGGGACTTGTTCTGCCCTGAGCCCAGGACGGGGCTGGCCTTACGATGGGGAGGGCAGGCCCCAGGAAGCACTGAGGCCCAGCTCTGCACGGGAGCTGCCCGTGGTGCCCTGGGACTCAACGGCTGCGAAGTGATGGGCTGGTCGCCATCCGGCACCAGCTACCACGCCCTGCCCAGGCCTGGCTTTCTCACCAGGAAGAGAAGGTGGGACCTCATGAATTGAGAAAATCAGGGAAGCACAGAGCTCTGCACACAAGAAAGACCATCTGTGGCCTCTGTGCACAGACTTTAGGGTTTTCTCATCTTCAAGCACTAAGCTGCCTTGTCCACCTTCAAGAGTCCTCAGGGCCAGGGAGATGGCTCAGTGGACTAAGTGCTTGCCTGGCAAGCACAAGGGTCTAAGTTCTATCCCGGTACCACAAAAAAACAAAAGAGTCCTGAGAATAAGGTGAGACTTAGGTGAGAGACCTTACTGTGGACACGACTGTGCTCACGCCTCCACTTTGGTGAAGTCAGCCATTGCTGTGGTTACTAAAATATTCTAGCTTGTAAAAGTCAATGTGCCGGGGCTGGAGAGATGGCTCAGTGGTCTAAAGCACCTACTTGAAACAAGCTTGGCAAAGCACAGGGACCGCGGTTCGATCCCCCAGCACCACATGCCAGCCAGCCCCGCCCCCTGGTGGGCTGAGCTGACCACACACACACACAATAAATAAATGTAATAAATTAAAAAAAAAAAAAAAAGTCAATGTGCTGCAAATAGCTACCTAAATGTACTCTTGCTACTTTTTCTATTACTGTATTGGGAATCAGACTCGTGATCTCACTCTGGCCAGGCAGGTGCTGTGTCACTGAGGTACACCCCGACTCTGTATTCATCATAACATCAAGGAATGTGTAAGAGTTTTCTACATCTACTAGGCTGAGGGCGCAGCTCAGCGGCACAGCATGTGCTTAGTATGCGCAAAGCCCTAGCTTTGATTGCCAGCATCCAAAAAATGTTTACTTATGCATTAAATAACGCGTTAAATTTCCCAAAAATGTCCTTGATAAAAATTGGGATTTTTCAAACAGATAATGCCATTTCCCATTCTCTTTTTCCAAAAGGATTTGAGCTACTCAGCATTGAGTCCATCATTGGAGTACCTTCTAAAACGTTCCTATTTCTGGAGGCTCTTGGATTCTGCCATGAGTGACGCTCTAGAACAACAGCCGCAGACGCCTGCCTTTCTCTCGGGATGCTCCTGCCCCAGCGCCCACACCTCTTCTCCACTCCAGACTCAGCACACTCACTCCTCACCGTGTGCAGCTGCCCCTTCTGTCAGCTTCCTCAGGGTTTCCACACATACCCCGATTAGAAGATGGCTCCTCACATCATGCACTTGCTGCTGCTTCTGTTTTGACCCAGAGCCTCCTACAGGCTGAGAGTGTGCTCTGACTGCGCTGCACCCCCAGCATGATTCTACTACAACTCACCTAAGTGTTAAAATGCAATTTTAATGTGGCCATTGTCTGTGCATCATTTGGCTAAGTCTTACTACTTTCCAGAAATTAGGGTCAAGGTTATATAAGGCACTACACAGAGACTTTATCATTCACCCTTTGTTCCCGTGAGGAGAGATGAGCCCGAGAATCTGTCACCAAGGGTCCTGTGGCTGTCCTCTTCCCCAGTTGTGTCCTCACAGAGGGAGGTGACAGTGGGGAATCGCCCTCTTGAGCACCACTGCCTTCCTCAGGGACACACCAGCACAGCGCTGCAAACACGCAGCAAGGGATTCCACTTCCATAAGTGAGCTGTGTGCAAACTGAACACTGTGAGAGGCATGTGTGAGCTTCTGAACACCTGTGCGAGCTGTGTACTAACTTCTGAACACCTGTGCAAGCCTTGTACCAACTT